CATTGTTTACCATAGCTCCTTATGAAGTTCATGTGTCCCTCACTAATTATAATGATTGTCATTGTTTACCATAGCTCCTTATGAAGTTCATGTGTCCCTCACTAATTATAATGATTGTCATTGTTTACCATAGCTCCTTATGAAGTTCATGTGTCCCTCACTAATTATAATGATTGTCATTGTTTACCATAGCTCCTTATGAAGTTCATGTGTCCCTCACTAATTATAATGATTGTCATTGTTTACCATAGCTCCTTATGAAGTTCATGTGTCCCTCACTAATTATAATGATTGTCATTGTTTACCATAGCTCCTTATGAAGTTCATGTGTCCCTCACTAATTATAATGATTGTCATTGTTTACCATAGCTCCTTATGAAGTTCATGTGTCCCTCACTAATTATAATGATTGTCATTGTTTACCATAGCTCCTATGAAGTTCATGTGTCCCTCACTAATTATAATGATTGTCATTGTTTACCATAGCTCCTTATGAAGTTCATGTGTCCCTCACTAATTATAATGATTGTCATTGTTTACCATAGCTCCTTATGAAGTTCATGTGTCCCTCACTAATTATAATGATTGTCATTGTTTACCATAGCTCCTTATGAAGTTCATGTGTCCCTCACTAATTATAATGATTGTCATTGTTTACCATAGCTCCTTATGAAGTTCATGTGTCCCTCACTAATTATAATGATTGTCATTGTTTACCATAGCTCCTTATGAAGTTCATGTGTCCCTCACTAATTATAATGATTGTCATTGTTTACCATAGCTCCTTATGAGTTCATGTGTCCCTCACTAATTATAATGATTGTCATTGTTTACCATAGCTCCTTATGAAGTTCATGTGTCCCTCACTAATTTATACCATAATGAGTTCATGTGTCCCTCATTGTCATTGTTTACCATAGCTCCTTATGAAGTTCATGTGTCCCTCACTAATTATAATGATTGTCATTGTTTACCATAGCTCCTTATGAAGTTCATGTGTCCCTCACTAATTATAATGATTGTCATTGTTTACCATAGCTCCTTATGAAGTTCATGTGTCCCTCACTAATTATAATGATTGTCATTGTTTACCATAGCTCCTTATGAAGTTCATGTGTCCCTCACTAATTATAATGATTGTCATTGTTTACCATAGCTCCTTATGAAGTTCATGTGTCCCTCACTAATTATAATGATTGTCATTGTTTACCATAGCTCCTTATGAAGTTCATGTGTCCCTCACTAATTATAATGATTGTCATTGTTTACCATAGCTCCTTATGAAGTTCATGTGTCCCTCACTAATTATAATGATTGTCATTGTTTACCATAGCTCCTTATGAAGTTCATGTGTCCCTCACTAATTATAATGATTGTCATTGTTTACCATAGCTCCTTATGAAGTTCATGTGTCCCTCACTAATTATAATGATTGTCATTGTTTACCATAGCTCCTTATGAAGTTAATGTGTCCCTCACTAATTATAATGATTGTCATTGTTTACCATAGCTCCTTATGAAGTTAATGTGTCCCTCACTAATTATAATGATTGTCATTGTTTACCATAGCTCCTTATGAAGTTAATGTGTCCCTCACTAATTATAATGATTGTCATTGTTTACCATAGCTCCTTATGAAGTTAATGTGTCCCTCACTAATTATAATGATTGTCATTGTTTACCATAGCTCCTTATGAAGTTAATGTGTCCCTCACTAATTATAATGATTGTCATTGTTTACCATAGCTCCTTATGAAGTTAATGTGTCCCTCACTAATTATAATGATTGTCATTGTTTACCATAGCTCCTTATGAAGTTAATGTGTCCCTCACTAATTATAATGATTGTCATTGTTTACCATAGCTCCTTATGAAGTTAATGTGTCCTTGTTTACCATAGCTCCTTATGAAGTTAATGTGTCATTGTTTACCATAGCTCCTTGTGAAGTTAATGTGTCCCTCACTAATTATAATGATTGTCATTGTTTACCATAGCTCCTTATGAAGTTAATGTGTCCCTCACTAATTATAATGATTGTCACTAATTATATGTGTCCCTGATTATAATGATTGTCATTGTTTACCATAGCTCCTTGTGAAGTTAATGTGTCATTGTTTACCATAGCTCCTTGTGAAGTTAATGTGTCCCTCACTAATTATAATGATTGTCATTGTTTACCATAGCTCCTTGTGAAGTTAATGTGTCCCTCACTAATTATAATGATTGTCATTGTTTACCATAGCTCCTTATGAAGTTAATGTGTCCCTCACTAATTATAATGATTGTCATTGTTTACCATAGCTCCTTATGAAGTTCATGTGTCCCTCACTAATTATAATGATTGTCATTGTTTACCATAGCTCCTTGTGAAGTTAATGTGTCCCTCACTAATTATAATGATTGTCATTGTTTACCATAGCTCCTTATGAAGTTCATGTGTCCCTCACTAATTATAATGATTGTCATTGTTTACCATAGCTCCTTGTGAAGTTAATGTGTCCCTCACTAATTATAATGATTGTCATTGTTTACCATAGCTCCTTGTGAAGTTAATGTGTCCCTCACTAATTATAATGATTGTCATTGTTTACCATAGCTCCTTGTGAAGTTAATGTGTCCCTCACTAATTATAATGATTGTCATTGTTTACCATAGCTCCTTATGAAGTTCATGTGTCCCTCACTAATTATAATGATTGTCATTGTTTACCATAGCTCCTTGTGAAGTGTGTTGTGTCCCTCACTAATTATAATGATTGTCATTGTTTACCAGAGCTCCTTATGAAGTTAATGTGTCCCTCATTAATTATAATGATTGTCATTGTTTACCAGAGCTCCTTATGAAGTTAATGTGTCCCTCACTAATTATAATGATTGTCATTGTTTACCAGAGCTCCTTATGAAGTTAATGTGTCCCTCATTAATTATAATGATTTTCATTACTAATGGTTGTGTATCAGTTGTTGAAAGGCTATTATTTTGAATCCAAAATCTCCCAAGACAGAAATGAATACTTCCATAATTTTGTCTGTACCAACTATCTGCCATGTCCTCATTTATTGTAACACATCTGGAACTTGTTCAAGCAATCAGTGCCCTCTCTCCCCCCCCCCCCCCTCTTCCCTTTTTTTTTCAATGTCTGGATTATTTCTCTGGTCTTCCAACATTATACTATTTTTTAGTGTCTGTTCTCAGCTATTAAATAAATTATTTTGTTCCTTCCCTTAGTCTCAAGCATCCGGTGACTGTTGGTCAAAAGGTTTTTGTCCTGCAAGCGCCTCGCCCCCACAATTGCTTCCTTCCTGTGTCAGTGAAATAACACATGAAATGCCCCTACTGACCCATTTAATGAAAACGGTTTATAAACAATCAGTTCCGGCATAATCCATAAATAAAGAACATGCAGTAAATTCATTCAACAGTTGCTAAAGATGCAACCAGTGATTGTTCATAACTTCTTTCCGTGCGGGTTCCAGAGTCCATTTCTGAAGGTACAAAAAAGGCCCACTGCCACTCTAAAAAACATGTGTGCATGATGACAAATTAGTCCAAATCAGAGTGCACCTGCCTCAAAGGCAACAAACCAACAGTCTGCATACAAATAAACTAGATCTGTAAAATGGATCTGCATGCAACACTCAAAATTATTATCCACACAAAGTCCAGAAATGAATGCACAGCCATAACTTTCCGCCAGAGTTTCCAGCCAGTGAACGTAAAGAAGACGATGAGGAAGTTCGTGACCCCGGACATGTACAAAAATATGCTTGTCTGTATAATATATACACCCCTGTCTCAAATGTGCTGAAGTCTGTATAATATATACACCCCTGTCTCAAATGTGCTGAAGTCTGTATAATATATACACCCCTTTCTCGAATGTGCTAAAGTCTGTATAATATATACACCTCATTCTCCAATGTGCTAAAGGCTGTATAATATATACACCCCATTCTCCAATGTGATGAAGTCTGTATAATATATACACCCCATTCTCCAATGTGATGAAGTCTGTATAATATATACACCCCATTCTCCAATGTGATGAAGTCTGTATAATATATACACCCCATTCTCCAATGTGATGAAGTCTGTATAATATATACACCCCATTCTCCAATGTGCTGAAGTCTGTATAATATATACACCCCATTCTCCAATGTGCTAAAGTCTGTATAATATATACACCCCATTCTCCAATGTGCTAAAGTCTGTATAATATATACACCCCATTCTCCAATGTGCTGAAGTCTGAATAATATATATACCCCATTCTCCAATGTGCTAAAGTCTGTATAATATATACACCCCATTCTCCAATGTGCTGAAGTCTGAATAATATATATACCCCATTCTCCAATGTGCTAAAGTCTGTATAATATATACATCCCATTCTTCAATGTGCTGAAGTCTGTATAATATATAAACCCCATTCTCCAATGTGCTGAAGTCTGAATAATATATATACCCCATTCTCCAATGTGCTGAAGTCTGTATACTATATAAACCCTATTCTCCAATGTGCTGAAGTCTTTATAAAAAATACACCCCTTTCTCGAATGTGCTAAAGTCTGTATAATATATACACCTCATTCTCCAATGTGCTAAAGTCTGTATAATATATACACCTCATTCTCTAATGTGATGAAGTCTGTATAATATATAAACCCCATTCTCACATGTGCTGAAGTCTGTATAATATATAAACCCCATTCTCCAATGAGCTGAAGTCTGTATAATATATAGACCCATGCCTAATGATATATAAACTCCATTCTACAATGTGCTATTGTCTCAATGTGGTTTTTTTACTGGAGTGTTTGTGTGTAACTTACTTACATTGTTTACTACAGTCTTTATTTGGGAAACAACATCAACTGTGATCTTGCTGGCAGCTACAAAGTCTCAGACTTGCAGTAAATAAGCAAACTGAGCAAGATGTTTAATCAATTAGCATATGGTTACCTGTGTGCTCAGAAACTAAGAGAACATTATGTTACCTTTTGCCAGCAAGATGGCAGCACTTTATAAGTACAAGCTCGAATCCTTAGCCACAATCTTGGATATGTAACAGTTACTGGTGCAACAAGCCGCCGTTTCTGGATGGTCTCCGGCAGCAGAAATATTGCTATCAACAGTGAGACCACACCACAGGCAGCACTAAATATGACTGGTTGAAAATAGCTGACTTTGATCCATTGACCGATAACATATCCACCTGAAACAGTAATTATAAACCAGAAAAACTTAAAATTTGTTTCAGTAAAAACACATGGGGCTGGAGAGTTGGCTAGTGAAAAGGATACTTTCAGGTGTGTCATGAAGAGAGTTGGCTAGGGAAAGGGATACTTTCAGGTGTGCCATGAAGAGAGTTGGCTAGGGAAAGGGATACTTTCAGGTGTGCCATGAAGAGAGCTGCTTAGGGAAAGGGATACTTTCAGGTGTGCCATGAAGAGAGCTGCTTAGGGAAAGGGATACTTTCAGGTGTGTCATGAAGAGAGCTGCTTAGGGAAAGGGATACTTTCAGGTGTGCCATGAAGAGAGTTGGCTAGGGAAAGGGATACTTTCAGGCGTGTCATGAAGAGAGCTGCTTAGGGAAAGGGATACATTCAGGTGTGTCATGAAGAGAGCTGCTTAGGGAAAGGGATACTTTCAGGTGTGCCATGAAGAGAGTTGGCTAGGGAAAGGGATACTTTCAGGTGTGTCATGAAGAGAGCTGCTTAGGGAAAGGGATACTTTCAGGTGTGTCATGAAGAGAGCTGCTTAGGGAAAAGGATACTTTCAGGCGTGCCGTGAAGAGAGCTAGCTAGGGAAAGGGATACTTTCAGGCGTGCCGTGAAGAGAGCTGGCTAGGGAAAGGGATACTTTCAGGTGTGCCGTGAAGAGAGCTGGCTAGTGAAAGGGATACTTTCAGGCGTGCCGTGAAGGGAGCTAGCTAGGGAAAGGGATACTTTCAGGTGTGCCGTGAAGAGAGCTAGCTAGGGAAAGGGATACTTTCAGGCGTGCCGTGAAGAGAGCTGGCTAGGGAAAGGGATACTTTCAGGTGTGCCGTGAAGGGAGCTAGCTAGTGAAAGGGATACTTTCAGGCGTGCCGTGAAGAGAGCTAGCTAGGGAAAGGGATACTTTCAGGTGTGCCGTGAAGAGAGCTAGCTAGTGAAAGGGATACTTTCAGGTGTGCCGTGAAGAGAGCTAGCTAGTGAAAGGGATACTTTCAGGTGTGCCGTGAAGAGAGCTAGCTAGTGAAAGGGATACTTTCAGGTGTGCCGTGAAGAGAGCTAGCTAGTGAAAGGGATACTTTCAGGTGTGCCGTGAAGAGAGCTAGCTAGTGAAAGAGATACTTTCAGGTGTGCCGTGAAGAGAGCTAGCTAGTGAAAGGGATACTTTCAGGCGTGCCGTGAAGAGAGCTAGCTAGTGAAAGAGATACTTTCAGGTGTGCCGTGAAGAGAGCTAGCTAGGGAAAGGGATACTTTCAGGCGTGCCGTGAAGAGAGCTGGCTAGTGAAAGGGATACTTTCAGGCGTGCCGTGAAGGGAGCTAGCTAGGGAAAGGGATACTTTCAGGCGTGCCGTGAAGAGAGCTGGCTAGTGAAAGGGATACTTTCAGGCGTGTCATGAAGAGAGTTGGCTAGGGAAAGGGATACTTTCAGGTGTGCCATGAAGAGAGTTGGCTAGGGAAAGGGATACTTTCAGGTGTGCCGTGAAGGGAGCTAGCTAGGGAAAGGGATACTTTCAGGTGTGCCGTGAAGGGAGCTAGCTAGGGAAAGGGATACTTTCAGGTGTGCCGTGAAGGGAGCTAGCTAGGGAAAGGGATACTTTCAGGCGTGCCGTGAAGAGAGCTAGCTAGGGAAAGGGATACTTTCAGGTGTGCCGTGAAGAGAGCTAGCTAGGGAAAGGGATACTTTCAGGCGTGTCATGAAGAGAGTTGGCTAGTGAAAGGGATACTTTCAGGCGTGCCGTGAAGAGAGCTGGCTAGGGAAATGGATACTTTCAGGCGTGCCGTGAAGAGAGCTGGCTAGTGAAAGGGATACTTTCAGGCGTGCCGTGAAGAGAGCTAGCTAGGGAAATGGATACTTTCAGGCGTGCCGTGAAGAGAGCTGGCTAGTGAAAGGGATACTTTCAGGCGTGCCGTGAAGAGAGTTGGCTAGGGAAAGGAATACTTTCAGGCGTGCCGTGAAGGGAGCTAGCTAGGGAAAGGGATACTTTCAGGCGTGCCGTGAAGAGAGCTAGCTAGTGAAAGGGATACTTTCAGGCGTGTCATGAAGGGAGCTAGCTAGGGAAAGGGATACTTTCAGGCGTGCCATGAAGAGAGCTAGCTAGGGAAAGGGATACTTTCAGGCGTGCCGTGAAGAGAGCTAGCTAGGGAAAGGGATACTTTCAGGCGTGCCGTGAAGAGAGCTGGCTAGTGAAAGGGATACTTTCAGGCGTGCCGTGAAGAGAGCTGGCTAGTGAAAGGGATACTTTCAGGCGTGCCGTGAAGAGAGCTAGCTAGGGAAAGGGATACTTTCAGGCGTGCCGTGAAGAGAGCTAGCTAGTGAAAGGGATACTTTCAGGCGTGCCGTGAAGAGAGCTGGCTAGTGAAAGGGATACTTTCAGGCGTGCCGTGAAGAGAGTTGGCTAGGGAAAGGAATACTTTCAGGCGTGCCGTGAAGAGAGCTAGCTAGGGAAAGGGATACTTTCAGGCATTTCGTGAAGAGAGTTGGCTAGGGAAAGGGATACTTTCAGGCGTGCCGTGAAGAGAGTTGGCTAGGGAAAGGAATACTTTCAGGCGTGCCGTGAAGAGAGTTGGCTAGGGAAAGGAATACTTTCAGGCGTGCCGTGAAGAGAGCTAGCTAGGGAAAGGGATACTTTCAGGCATTTCGTGAAGAGAGTTGGCTAGGGAAAGGAATACTTTCAGGCGTGCCGTGAAGAGAGCTAGCTAGGGAAAGGGATACTTTCAGGCATTTCGTGAAGAGAGTTGGCTAGGGAAAGGGATACTTTCAGGCGTGCCGTGAAGAGAGTTAGCTAGGGAAAGGAATACTTTCAGGCGTGCCGTGAAGGGAGCTAGCTAGGGAAAGGGATACTTTCAGGCGTGCCGTGAAGAGAGTTGGCTAGGGAAAGGGATACTTTCAGGCGTGCCGTGAAGAGAGTTGGCTAGGGAAAGGAATACTTTCAGGCGTGCCGTGAAGGGAGCTAGCTAGGGAAAGGGATACTTTCAGGCGTGCCGTGAAGGGAGCTAGCTAGGGAAAGGGATACTTTCAGGTGTGCTGTGAAGGGAGCTAGCTAGGGAAAGGGATACTTTCAGGCGTGCCGTGAAGGGAGCTAGCTAGGGAAAGGGATACTTTCTGGCGTGTCATGAAGAGAGCTAGCTAGGGAAAGGGATACTTTCAGGTGTGCTGTGAAGGGAGCTAGCTAGGGAAAGGGATACTTTCTGGCGTGTCATGAAGAGAGCTAGCTAGGGAAAGGGATACTTTCAGGTGTGCTGTGAAGGGAGCTAGCTAGGGAAAGGGATACTTTCAGGCGTGCCGTGAAGGGAGCTAGCTAGGGAAAGGAATACTTTCAGGCATTTCGTGAAGAGAGTTGGCTAGGGAAAGGGATACTTTCAGGCGTGCCGTGAAGGGAGCTAGCTAGGGAAAGGGATACTTTCAGGCGTGTCATGAAGGGAGTTGGCTAGGGAAAGGGATACTTTCAGGCATTTCGTGAAGAGAGCTGGCTAGAGAAAGGAATACTTTCAGGTGTGCTGTGAAGGGAGCTAGCTAGGGAAAGGGATACTTTCAGGCGTGCCGTGAAGGGAGCTAGCTAGGGAAAGGGATACTTTCTGGCGTGTCATGAAGAGAGTTGGCTAGGGAAAGGGATACTTTCAGGTGTGCCGTGAAGAGAGCTAGCTAGGGAAAGGGATACTTTCAGGCGTGTCATAAAGAGAGTTAGCTAGGGAAAGGGATACTTTCAGGTGTGCCATGAAGGGAGCTAGCTAGGGAAAGGGATACTTTCAGGCGTGTCATAAAGAGAGTTAGCTAGGGAAAGGGATACTTTCAGGTGTGCCGTGAAGAGAGCTAGCTAGGGAAAGGGATACTTTCAGGCGTGTCATGAAGAGAGTTAGCTAGGGAAAGGGATACTTTCAGGTGTGCCGTGAAGAGAGCTAGCTAGGGAAAGGGATACTTTCAGGCGTGTCATGAAGAGAGTTGGCTAGGGAAAGGAATACTTTCAGGTGTGCCGTGAAGGGAGCTAGCTAGGGAAAGGGATACTTTCAGGCGTGTCATGAAGAGAGTTGGCTAGGGAAAGGGATACTTTCAGGTGTGCCGTGAAGAGAGCTAGCTAGGGAAAGGGATACTTTCAGGTGTGCCGTGAAGAGAGTTAGCTAGGGAAAGGGATACTTTCAGGTGTGCCATGAAGAGAGTTGGCTAGGGAAAGGAATACTTTCAGGTGTGCCATGAAGAGAGTTAGCTAGGGAAAGGGATACTTTCAGGCATTTCGTGAAGAGAGTTGGCTAGGGAAAGGGATACTTTCAGGTGTGCCGTGAAGAGAGCTAGCTAGGGAAAGGGATACTTTCAGGCGTGCCATGAAGAGAGTTGGCTAGGGAAAAAGATACTTTCAGGCGTGCCGTGAAGAGAGTTGGCTAGGGAAAGGGATACTTTCAGGCGTGCCGTGAAGGGAGCTAGCTAGGGAAAGGGATACTTTCAGGCGTGCCGTGAAGGGAGCTAGCTAGGGAAAGGGATACTTTCAGGCATTTTGTGAAGAGAGTTGGCTAGGGAAAGGGATACTTTCAGGCATTTTGTGAAGAGAGTTGGCTAGGGAAAGGGATACTTTCAGGCGTGCCGTGAAGAGAGTTGGCTAGGGAAAGGGATACTTTCAGGCATGTCATAAAGAGAGTTGGCTGGGGAAAGAGATACTTTCAGGCGTGTCATAAAGAGAGTTAGCTAGGGAAAGGGATACTTTCAGGCGTGTCATAAAGAGAGTTGGCTAGGGAAAGGGATACTTTCAGGCGTGTCATAAAGAGAGTTGGCTAGGGAAAGGGATACTTTCAGGCGTGTCATAAAGAGAGTTGGCTAGGGAAAGGGATACTTTCAGGCGTGTCATAAAGAGAGTTGGCTAGGGAAAGGGATACTTTCAGGCGTGTCATAAAGAGAGTTGGCTAGGGAAAGGGATACTTTCAGGCGTGCCGTGAAGAGAGTTGGCTAGGGAAAGAGATACTTTCAGGCGTGTCATGAAGAGAGTTGGCTGGGGAAAAGGGTTACTTTCAGGGGTGCCGTGAAGAGATTGACATTCTGTAAAGGACTTGCTGATTGATGAAAACTAAACAAATATTAGTAGAATGTTAAACTAGATTCTTATTGTATATATTTGTTATTTTGTATATAGTGTAATCATTTATTTATACAATTTGTGTTATTATTTAATTATCTTAGCTCTATCATAGATCTCTGGTATTTCTCAATGATTATTTCCCTTCTACTCTGATAGCTTTTTAGCTGCAAATTTAACTGGCCCCTAGACAGACATATTTATCTGAGAATGGATGAAGGCGTCTGCTATAATTTTTATTACAAATTAATTTATTACACATCTTGACAGTGGTACAGAGAGCTGAACGTTCAGAAAGCAATGGCAAACTACACATGGTAACATTTGCCTAGAAAAACCACAAAAGGCAAACAATTATGTGGTTAGTTCTGCAATGTCCTGTAAAGGAAACAAACTTTGTTTTTTAACCTTGGAATGGCTGCTGCATCAGAGGATTAAGCATGTATGAGAATGCCAAATGTGCAGTGACATTGACTGTGATAACATAACATAACATAACATAAGACAACATCTCTGACCTGCAGCACCTGTAAGAGTCTGCATAGCTTCCATGACGGTGATGCGGAAAGAACGCTGCCGACCTGGGTTTGTGATGTCAGACACCACGGTGAACATCGATGTCAGCATCGCAGCAAAACTACCACCAAACGACTCAAACATGTGACCCACAATCAAGATCAGAGGTGGCAGGTGCAAACCAACTACTGCTGCATAAACGATCTGCTTGATAAATGTTCCGACTATCTGTGGGGTTAAATGACAGGGTTAGAGTCAAGTGCTCCAATATCTGTGGGGTTAAATGATAGGGTTAGAGTTATAAGTTCCAATATCTGTGGGGTTAAATGACAGGATTAGAGTCAAGTGCTCCAATATCTGTGGGGTTAAATGATAGGGTTAGAGTCAAGTGCTCCAATATCTGTGGGGTTAAATGATAGGGTTAGAGTTATAAGCACCAATATCTGTGGGGTTAAATGACAGGATTAGAGTCAAGTGCTCCAATATCTGTGGGGTTAAATGATAGGGTTAGAGTTATAAGCTCCAATATCTGTGGGGTTAAATGATAGGGTTAGAGTTAAATGCTCCAATATATGTGGGGTTAAATGATAGGGTTAGAGTTAAATGCTCCAATATCTGTGGGGTTAAATGATAGGGTTAGAGTTATAAGCTCCGATATCTGTGGGGTTAAATAATAGGGTTAGAGTTAAATGCTCCAATATCTGTGGGGTTAAATGATAGGGTTAGAGTTAAATACTCCAATATTTGTGGGGTTAAATGGTAGGGTTAGAGTTAAATACTCCAATATCTGTGGGGTTAAATGATAGGGTTAGAGTTAAATGCTTCAATATCTGTGGGGTTAAATGATAGGGTTAGAGTTAAATACTCCAAAATATGTGGGGTTAAATGACAGAATTAGAGTTAAATGCTCCAATATCTTTGGGGTTAAATTACAGGGTTAGAGTTAAATGCTCCAATATCTGTGGGGTTAAATGATAGGGTTAGAGTTAAATACTCCAATATCTGTGGGGTTAAATGATAGGGTTAGAGTTAAATGCTTCAATATCTGTGGGGTTAAATGATAGGGTTAGAGTTAAATACTCCAAAATATGTGGGGTTAAATGACAGAATTAGAGTTAAATGCTCCAATACCTTGGGGTTAAATTACAGGGTTAGAGTTAAATGCTCCAATATCTGTGGGGTTAAATGATAGGTTTGAGTTAAATGCTCCCTTATCTGTAGGGTTAAAAAGTAGTGTCTCAGATTAATTCTTCTAACTATTTGTGCAGATAAAAGTTAGAATTCAAGTCAAATGTTTCAGCCATCTGTGGGGTTAAATTGTATTATTGGAGTCAAATCTTCCACTGATCTGTAGGAAATACTAATAATGTCAAATCTTCCA